CATGAAATGAAGAGCGATGGCCTGCAGCTGCGGGAGCACTGTCCCCACTTCGACCACCAACAACCGGACTTGTACGTCTCCACATCGCCGGTGCACCTCTGTGCCTCCCTGTCTCCATCCCTCCCCCCCTACGCAATCGCCCCTCTCCGTGTGTGGAAGTCACGCATTTGGGCACATGCAGCCTCATAATTGGGGATCACCTCACTAAACCCAGTCTGTGTGAGGATGTACGTCTCAGCCTCCTACACGAGTCTCGCATCGTAGCCGCTGACGACGTCATCCTAGTACCTCAAGTCTCGGCGACTGGGACACAGAAGATGAGCAGCGGCGTGCGCTGGCTCCAACATGTGAGCGCACCGAGCCTGCACTTTCTGCATAATGAAGTGCGCAACACGTGGTGGAAGTGCGAGGACCTCGCGTGCTACATCGCGGGTCACGTACTGCGTCCACTGCACAACCCGCGACATGTGCAGCCCTCCCCGGTCCAACTTGCGAAGCATGTCATACACGGGCTCCATAATGTGGACAAGGACTCCCATGGAATCCCACCAAGAACCATGCCGCACCTGCCACCTAACCCACCGAGCCAGCTGAGCTACGGAACTGTCCAAACCCCAACCGTCGCCATCCACCGTCCTCTCCAACGCTGACCTCACTGCCAGCAAACGCTCCATCATAGCGAACACGGAAGCGAATCGTGTTTCGCAGGGATAAATAAGTCCCATGTGCGTGCTCTCCCCCCTGAAGATATGCAAAGTGGCGCCGTGCTCCTTGATGAAGCGCACCACTGCTCTCTCGCACACAATGATGTCCTTTGACCACGGGCTCGACAAGCCAATGTCTAACAACATTTTGTTGCAGACATGCACTGCGCACGACAGCCATGTGATCTGTCGAATCTCTGGCCTCTGCTGGGGCCCCTGGAGCATGTTTGTCGCGGCGATGTACGCAGAGGCAGAGTCCGTGCAGATGTCATTCACCCACCGAGGAGGGAAGTCATCGAACACCTTGATCCAGTGCACCAAAACATCAGGCGCCTGATCTCGCTCGCCCTCCCTGTTCATTGTCCTCACCATCATCACTCCGCGTGACTCGCCGGCAAGGAAGTTAACGATTGGTCTGGCATCCTGTGACTTCCTGCCATCCGACATGATGGTCGCCTCCGTCACATAGAAAGGAGCTTTGACCTCTGCGAGATCACCCACCACATCATCCGCAGTGCGGACAACCGTCTCCATGTCGGTGATCTCGTTGTGCGACGACCACAAAACCTTCACTGGCCCCGACAAGTCCCGGAAGTGTTTGACCAATTATTTTCATGGCTCGCTCCGGAAGACGTTGAATGACAAACGCTGACTATAAACAAACCTCAAAAACTTCTTTTTGAACTTCATCTGACATTGCGAAGAATACGACTCCGTGATGGTGTTTTGTCTCGGCCGCTTCTGCCCACCCGGCCTCACCCCCTCCTCTCTCTCCTTTCTCTTCCCCACAGCAGCCGCCGCGTCTTCCGCGTCCCAATGCGCCTGAGTGCGAGCCGACACGTGCGCATACTTAAAGAAACGGCCTTGTTGGCCCCACGGCTCGTGAACGACGCTCTTCCTTTGGTCCCTCGTCAATGGGCCAGGCTGCGCTGCCTCCGCACCCTCGTTCTCAACGTTGTCCACGTCGACCACCTCCTCTTCACCCCTCTCTTGTCCCGCCCCTCCCGCCCCTCCCTCGTCCATGCGTGAATCCATCGCAGGTGCGGGACTGTGAAGCTCCTCGAACCGAAGCACCCGGTAAAGGATCTTGCCCTCCAGCTTGTAGTCCAAGTTGTAGTGTATGTCCACCAGCGCCTCGTCGGTCACTGACGGACACCCTTTCCCTGGCCTAAAATGGCGTGCCGCCACGTACTGGTTTTCCTGGAACTCTTGGCCGCAGAACACGCACTTCAACATGCAGTGTTGAGCGCATCGGCACGCAGGAGTTGGTCTAAATCCTCGTTGCGAACATACATGGAGCTTCCGCAAGCCGCTTCGGCCGAGTGCGCCAGCCATACCTCTTGTGAACCCCTACCACAGGATAGGGCCTACGCGAGGCACGATTTACCTCCACCTTACGAGAGCTGTCACCTCCCTTCGGTGGGCGTATCCCTGCCGAGCTACCAGTCCACAATACGAAAGTTAATCAGCTGGAATCGCAGAGGTGGACCAGCCGAGGGCGTTTCTCATTCGTTGTAGCATTGGGGGTACGCGCGGTAATATGCCTCTATCGGACCCGCACAAGAACTGTCATTTTGGGGGGATGAGGTCCCAAGCGCGACTCGTCGCCGGTTGACTACGACGCATCCCACACTCCACATACACACCACTCTGAAGAACACTAAAAAAAAAAACAAAAAAAAAACACATACACATACGTATACAGAACGACATAGAAAAACAATCACGACAACACTTCTCGTCCCTTAGTAGTCATCCCATAACTCTCCGATGCGGAAATCGGATAGGCGTCGCACGCGAGACTTAGTATAAAACCGGGCGGACGTAAGGCTAACTCATATCGACTCGCAATGCAAGCGTACACAAGCGATCGCAATAATGGCGTATTATGCAGTACCCATACACATGCGGTCCTCGTTAATCTCGAGGGTCGCATTCGACACTCAAGTGTCGGCTGACACGTGCCTTGAAGGAATGATCTCTCGACGCTGGACAACCACCAAATGCGGTTGAGAACAACACCCTCTTCTGCACCCTGCGGAGAGTGGGCGGTACACAGGTTCATACCTGTGGTGGCAATCGTCTCTTATGGCCCTGGAGACCAATTCCTTCACCTAGGGCCTGAATAGAAATCAAGGGGTTTGACTTTGACGGCTGCCACGGACTACAACGTCAAACCATAGAAACTCTAAAAAACAAAGGATAAAAGAGGACCTCCCTTTTCTCTCAAAAACGTAATCTGTTTGACCCTTACGCGCGGTCATTGTAGGCCGCACGAAACACTCAAGACATAAGTATTTACATATATATATAAAGGTTATAAATATGTGACGATCACTTCTCACAATCACTGTGAGGCTCCTCTAAGCCACATATATATGTATGTGAGCGCAGACAGTCAAATCCAAAGTCCGAATCACCAAATATACCTGCAATCATATCAAAGATTCAACCAAAAACTCCATGCACTACACGGGGTCAACTTCAATCATTCTCTGCAACTCACACTCCTCGTTTTAACCATGCAAGCCTCACTCTTGTGCAACTCCTCAAAATAAAATACTCAGTACTTTTCTTTAAATGACAATTCAAATAAAGTCCGGGCAAAAACACAACAAAACAGTTCAAATCACAAAGCTAAAGTCTTTATGTTGAGTGACGGGAGCGGATTGGAGTTGAATCGTAAACCGACGAGTCGGCAGCCGACCTATTATCAGTGATAATAAAAGGTGATCCTTGTAGGATCAAGCTGAATCTAGCCCAAATTTTGAATCCATGGAGAATAATCCTCATATCACGATCTCACTCAAATCAGCCTAATTAACTAAGCCTAAGTCTACCTCTAAGTGAGTGTCCAAAGAAAGGTAGACCCTGACATAGTCTCCTCTATACAGAGTGGATCGCCAGAATCGCCACCTGTCAAAACATAATCTAACTTCTTTAAACTAAGGGAATTTCGGCAGCGTTTCCCATAGGTAAAGTGTCTTTCCAAGATTTATATCATCCCGAATATAGAAACATAAATAATCTTCAACTTTCCAAAGTCAAATCTTGTCTAACTTTCTGAATTAGCAAAAATTTGGGCAGCACTCCCTTCAGAACAGGAAACTTCCCAACTTTTTATAGAACCATATAAAATTTAGACAAGTCGAACTTTGAAAAGTCAAAAGATGACCAACTCCTTGGATTTATAGAAATTTCGGCAGCGCTTCCCGTACAGAAAGTAGCTTACCAAAATTTATACAAAGTCAAGCATAACAATAAATCCTAGAAAATGCAGAAATTGACGTAAGTAAAATAAACTTAGCTAAAAAAATGCAGGAATTGAAACTAACTTCTATGGCTCTAGCACGTGGTGAGCAACTAAATCAACTACCTATCAAACTGAAACTCAGACTAAGCAGTAGTCTCGCTCAGTCACATGCAACGCAAACCACAAAGGTAAGTACCCTCACCTCCTCAAAGTCAAAATCCTCATAGATAGTTCATGAATCTTTCAGATGATTTAACCCTTGTACCCAACTAACATATGGCATAGTGCTAGACCATTCAGCTTAGAAACAATGTCTAGCATGCCTTTAGGATATACACGAACAGGTTGCACAACTACTTTTCTCTTCTTGGGGCATATGACTAAACCATTCGGCTTAGAAACAATGCCTAGTCGCCCTGAACTGTTTAATATCCAAATTTTACTAACTTTACGACTTTGTTCTCAAAAGACAATGCAAATATGGGCAGGGGACTGAACCATTTGGCTTGGAAACAATGTTCAGCTTGCCCAGACTATTTTCAATTATACCTTGTAATTTCTCTTCTCTTTTTGGTGATATGGCTTAACGTTGGACCATTCGGCTTGGAAACAATGCCCAACTGCCAGTTCACATGCAAATATAAGTAAAGTATTTTCTTTTATACTCAGGTTGTACTTATGTGCATGGTTTTCAGTCTAAACCATTCAACTTAGAAACAATGCTCAACCTTAGACCAAAAATTCTCCCTCATAACAAAACAAGAAAGCCCTTCACATCAGGCAAACCCTCAGAAAGTAAACATAGCAACCAGGTCATTCAGCTTAGAAACAATGTCTGGCCCTTCAGAAAACAGCCAAATAAACACAGCCTTGGGTCATTCAGCTTAGAAATAATGCCCAGTCTTTGGTTGACCCGGTCAAACGCATGCAGTCTACCTTCTTCCCACCTTCCTCCAGTTCATCCCTTAGTCTGCTTTCAGTCAAAATAAAGATGAAACTTAAGCTTCACACATATGCATTCCTTCCATTCAATCTGATTATATCTTGAACAAAGACAAAATCATAGGGACAATCTCATGCATACATCAGCCAAACTAAAGGGAGATTACCAACCAGGGGTATAGTGGGGTCATACAGGTAGAGAATGATATACCTGATAGTTTCCTGCCTTCAGAACCTCGTCTAGGTTCCGGCGGAGCTCTGACAATCGGTGGGTGGACTCCCCACAGAGTCTTGATCCGGTCCTACGGGTTGCAATCCCGCCTGCTGCCTCCCTCTCGTAACCAACAGGCTAGACTTAGAGTGAGAAGGGTAGAAAGAGATAGGTTGAGACTCTCAGATCCAAGGAGGGTGCATTCAGACTCGCGTGAGAGGGCCTTGATTCCTTGATGCACCTGAGGGCCACGCAATGATGGCCAAACTGCAACAGCTTGATCAAATTCTGAAGTCAAACTGTTGACATGCCCCTGCCTGACGACCCTCCCACTCCCCCTCTCTCTACACCTTTGCTTCCCATATCTAAGTCGGAGGCACACGACTCTAACTGGCCGTACTCCAACAGCTCAGCAATCCCTAGTGGACTTCAACAATTGTTGTAGCAAAAACGCAGTTAAGTAGTAGAATGCTCAGCACTGGAGTAGCATAGGATATTGCGACGGTCGGATTGAGTAGCGATTAGCAGTGCCTCAGACTTGCAGCGTCCGCGGCAACCAGCAACTTAGATGTAGCGCCTTTCTCCAAAAACAGTCTACAGGTTGTGACTGAAGGAATACCGCCAGCCTACGTGGCACCCTAGGCCGCGGCCGCAGAATCCCAGTCTGCGGCCGACCTCCTAGGCCGCAGACCCGCGGCCGAGACCGCGCGGCCGAGTTTGCATGCACGCTTAAAATCGGCGCGCGCGCTCGGCCTGCGCACGCCGGCCACTATCGGCCTGCATTAAAAAAAATAAAAAAAATTAAAAATTTGGGGGGGTCGATTTTGATAGGTAGCAAAAAAAATTTTAAAAATTGAAAAAAATAAATAAATTATTTATTGATTTTTTTTTTAATGATTGATTGATTGATTGATTGATTGATTGGTTGATTGATTGATTGATTGATGATTGGTTGATTGACTGATTGATTGATTGGTTGATGATTGATTGATTGATTGATTGATTGATTGATTGATTGGTTGATTAATGGATTGATTTTTTTTTTTTGATTGATTGATTGATTGATTGATTGATTGATTGGTTGGTTGGTTGGTTG